CTGATATGGATGTGCCCTAAAAGCAAACCGAGAAGTCAGAACAAATCAGACATAGGAAGCACATTGTAAGAGCACAAGTAAGTTTTCTAGGAGTTTGAGACTTAATTCTCCTATAATACTGATATCAAATAATATTGATTCTTGGGGTGATGGTTAAAACATTTACAGCTGTCTGATATTCAACAGCAATTACATTTAGTTTGTATTATTAAAAAGAATCAAGGATTGAACATAAATATTGGGCCGCTTCAGATGATTGTCACATTGTGATTTAAAACAAACCCTCCAAAAAAGTAACAAAACTGGACTTTTTAGCCTCGGGCTATAGGAAAATTCTTAGTAAATACTTGTGATATAGTCTTGGCTCAGTTCACAAAAGCAAGAGTCATGACTGTTTTGAAAAACAGAAATAATTAAGGCAATATCTGTTGCATAAAGACTGACAGCACATTTCAATTTATGAAGAATTTATTGAAATTTCTTGCCTCACATATGTACATAAATAAATGCACCATTGGGGCAAATATCAAGTCAATGAGTGAAGTAATAAGATAACATGTCTGACAAAGTGTCAAACAGTGCTATAAGAATAAAATTTAGCTCTATATTTCAGATTTCTGTTTGTAATTTGAATGCTTCAAATGACATAAGACAATGTTTCTTGCATAATAAATGACATTAAAATAAAATGACTATCAACTTGACTAATTGATCATGAATGCTAGTTAATTCAGAACCTTTAAAAACACACAACACTGTTATTTTCTAGGAAATGAAAATCAAATCTATCTTATTTAATCAGATGTTATAGAAATGTCAAAGACGTCTTCAAAACTGGAACATTAAAAGGGCAGTCTAGGCAAAGCACCCAATTTGGAAATAGAACTTTAAATATTCTTCTACTGTATTGCCATATATTCAGGGGGAAAAAAAATCACAGTTACTGATGAACTGGCATTAAGGATGGATTCATTTCCCAGAATGGAGACTTTGTAATGCACTGGAATTGCTGGAAGAGGAATTGCCTTGGAGTGCAATGCAAGTACAAACCTCAGCCCTGTAATTACACCGCATCGAGTGGGTCTGCAGGGCCACGGTCACCTCGAGGAGCTCTGCTGACTGCACATGCTAAGGCAGAAGCATTTCACTCATTTATGGCTCATTAATCACTTGAATCATTTACTCTTGACAGAAACCAGGTAGGCGGTGAGTCTGGGAGGACTGTGCAACCTGCTTTCCTTCCGTTCCCTGGAACATCTCATGTGTACAGAACCTACTTTGTTCCTTGTGAATTTTGCTGCTCTGTTTAAATATTTCACTTTGCTCAATTTCTCTCTGTGGATGCATATTGCCTCTGTATTCACCCACCTCCTTGCCCTTGCTTTGTCAATTAGGGCCTAATTTGCTTGAAAATTTCTTTCTGAAGACCAGGCTCGTTTCATGGCATGCAGAGCAGACTGGCTCAGAAGGCTACCATGCCTAGAATTTGTGTTATGTTCACTGACACAATGTTCTGAATATGTTTACACTTGATATTGTGTCTTGTGAATGGAGTCTAATGGAACATGGTAGCATGCACATATGCATTGTCACTGTTCTCTGCCACCCCATCAGTATCTAATTCTTATAATGTCCCGTGCACACAGGATTCCTGTGGACTCACAATGCTTGGGAATTTATTAAGGCTCAGTGTAAGTATGAGGTGAATGTGTCAAGTCCATACCTGAGTGTGGACCTTGGCAGTCCCCAAAGGCCACATGTTCTTCTTGATTCAGACATTACTTCACAGAAGAAAGAAAACAACTAAGGAATCCTATCATTCTTTGTTCATTATGCCATAAGGGCACCAGTTCGTGTCCTGGTTGCTCCACTCCTACCCAGTCCCTGCTTGTGGCCTGCAAAACCTTTGGACTCTGCACCCACATGGAAGACCCAGAGGAAGCTCCTGGCTCCTTTTTTCAGATCAGCTCAACTCTGGCTGGTGCAGCCATTTGGGGAGTGAACCAATGGATGAAAGATCTTTCTGTCTCTGCTTCTCTCTGTATATCTGCTTTTCCAATAAAAATGAGTAAATATATCAAAAAAAGAGAGAGAGAGAGAGAGAGAGAGAGAGAGAGAAAAGACAAGGCATATGGGGCTGAAACTATAGAATAGCAGGTTAAGCCTCCACCAATTGAGCTGGCATAATAGAAGGGCACCTGTTTGTGTCTTGGCTGCTCCACCTCTTGATCCAGCTCCCTGCTTGTGGCTTGGAAAAACAGCAGAAGATGGCCCAAAGCTTTGGGTACTTGCACCCACCTGAGACACCTGGAAGAAGCTCTTGGCAGCGAGCTCTGGATCAACCACACGCTGGCCATTATGGCCATTTGAGTAGTGAATTAGTGGATAGAGGATTTCTCCCCCACCCTTTGTGTGTGTGTGTGTGTGTGTGTGTGTGTGTGTGTCTGTCTGTCTGTCTGTCTGTCTGACTCTGCCTTTCAAATACAATTAAATCTTTAAAAAACAAAATGAAGGCAGAAGCAAGGGAAAGGCAAGGCAACACCATGACCATTTTTATTTCAGTCTCTCCTATCAGCAAATTGAAGGTAGAGTGAATGTAGAAAACCTATAAAATGAGGGATGGAAACGATTAAACTAGCCTTGTGTAACTTGCCCCTGTTATGTCTGAGAATGAAGTACCTGTTCACATGTGCTACAAAGGCTCAAATTGTTTAATTGTAGTGATTTCACTTATAAATGATCTACACTTGCAGTTAGCACTATAATTGCATAATATCAACTGAAGGATAAAACTTACACAAATATTTAAAAATTCTATTTTTCTGTTCTTAGGAGGACACTAAATAGCAAATAAAGATATAATGAAAATCTTGAAAGAATCACAGCAGAATGAGCTCTACGGTTTAGTATGTCTAACTGAACTTCTTCCTTTGTTTTTAATTACAGTACTGCATTTTGTTTTTTCACTAGGTTCTACACATTAAATGATTATCTCCACTGAGGAGTCTGTATTTGAAATTCTGGACTTTATTTACTAACCAACATGGCTGAGGATTGACACATCAGTGCAAATCATACCTCAATTATGGAAAACAAAAAATCAAACTGGTCATTCTTTGAAACTCCTTGAAAAAATATATATACATATACATTTTTGCATTTCTAGATCATTTTAGATAAAATTCATCTCAATTTTAACAATAATAACAATACTTCTAAAAATTCTGCTCTAGTGGTATTGCTGTTTTTCATCACAGAACTATATTTTTTCCCCACTTTATCTTCAATGAAAATCTGTAGTATTTCAGCTGTCCCATGATCAGTCAACAGAGGGGCTGCAATTGCTATGTATTTTTTTTTAAGTTTTATTTATATTTATTGGAAAAGCAGATTTACAGAGAGAAAGAGAGACAATTAGAAGGATTTTCCATCCACTGGTTCACTGCCCTAGTAGCTGTTATGGCCAGAGGTGAGCCAATCCGAAGCCAGAAGCCAGGAGCTTCTTCTAGGTCTCCCATGTGTGTGCAGGGTCCCAAGGCTTTGAGCCGTCCTCCACTGCTTTCCCAGGCCACAAGCAGGGAACTGGATGTAAGCTGAAGCTGGATGTCAATGGCTTTCCCTGGGAACCCAGTGGAAGATGGCCCAGGACTGTTGCAGGACAATTGGTGAGATGAGTCCTGCTGTTGGTGCCAATTCACCAGATCAATGCAACAGTGAGCACCAACGTGGTGCAGTCTGATGTAAGAAAAAGCAGCTCAGCACAATACAATCTGTGGGGCTGATGGAGAGACAAAGCTAAGTGGACTCCCAATCTAGGCTAAATAAATGTCTTTACTGTGTTGTCACCGGGAACAATGGTAGTGGCCATGCACTAGTCACTGTGAAGGCTGGGGCAGTCCTAATGGAGCCTCTGCAGCTTGTTCTGATTAGACTTAGAGCCTGTCCTCATTGCTGGTTCTGTCTTGTCTCATGTCTACCAGCTGGGAGGTAACAGCAACGTCCATGCTGGCAAGGACATGGTGTCCTGGGCTCCCTCAGCACTAGGGCACCTGACAACTGTATCAGAGACCACAAGAAGCCCTGGCTCCTACCTTCAGTCTGACTCAGTACCAACCATTGCAGTTACCCTAGGAGTAAACCACCAGATGGAAGATCTCTCTCTCTCTCCTCCTTCTCTCTAACTCTGAAATAATAATAATAAAAACAGAAAAGAATTATAGTATTGAATCGCCAGTGTTTATTTGTAGTAAATGTAAATAATGCAATCTTGGTTTAAGTCCATAGATTTCAAAGGTTATTATTTTTAGGGAGACTTTTTCTCTTAAATTGGATTAAACTTATTCCCCAGGTTAATAACTTACTAAAACTTATCTTTGTGTTTTTTTAAAAAGCAACTTTAAGGCAGAAACAAAAGCCATGGTTACAGACACGTCACACTGGTAAAGAATGAGGAAAAATAAAATGACCAGGAGGATACATTTGCAGAATTCTAGGGCTTGGAGACTATTCCATTGTCATTTATCAGCAGCCACAACACAATCGCAAATACCCATGGGTTCTGAGCATTTTCTGGGTATCAGAGGTTCAAAAAAAACAAAACAAAACAAAACAAAAAACTTGTTGGCAAAATGAGAAACTTGCACAAAATTACCTGACTTTCCTGAACTCTGTAGTAAAGTGTGAGAACTACCATGAAACAAGAAATATAAGTCAACCCGGGAAAGCATATCCACGGGGTTAAATTCAGGAAGCAACACCCAGCCGCACAGTCCTGCGACCTGACAACCTGCCGGACAGAAGCCAAAAACTTTAGATCCAGTCAGAAGCCGGAAACCAGAGCGGCTGGCAACTTCTTCCGGACGTCTTGACCACTCCAGGATGCCGGTCCACGTCGCCCTTCCTGCGCTGTTCCCCTACATCTAGGGGAAACTACATTTCCCATAATGCCCTTCAACCCTCCTGGCAGAGCGCCCTTGAGCGCCAGGGTGACGCCATCAGCGGGCGCGGTGTTCAGATTCACTGTTGTCGTGGCGCTTGTGGTGAAGAAGTTGGTGCTTGGCGGGGGCCCCAGGACGGAAGGCGCGGCCCGGGTGGCCTCTGGCCCTTTCCTAGCCCCTCCACCCCCGCCTGCCTTCTTCCTCCCTCCTCTGGCAGGATGAGGCGTGCAGGCCTGGGTAAGAGGCGGGCTGAGGTGTGCGGAGTTGGGAGCCCTGTCACCGGCTCCCGGGGCGGCCCCGCGGTGTTCGCCGGGGATCCGTGCTGACGGGGCCGAGTGGAAGCTCGTCACGGGTCCCGGTTCGAGGGGTTCCTTAGGTCAGAGTCAGCCCCACGTAGTGACAGCGTAGGACTGGGGTGCGCTGCCCACAGGTGCTGTTGGCACTTTTGTGGGGGCCGTGCGATGGTGTTGCCTCTGAGGAGGTGCTGGCCGGATTACCTCCCCGACTGTCCCTGGGTTTTAGAAGGGAAATGTGAGGAATGGGCGTTGCGTGCCAGGCACGTTAATAATGGTGAGGTTAGTCTGCTGGCAGCGAGTTGCCGAGGTAAAAGTACACGTCATCACTTCACTGGCATTGGGGTGCCAGACGGGGTCAAAGGCAGTTGGCCTGGAACATTTCTTATCTGATCCTGTTCCACTGTTGAGCAGCAGTGGGACTGCCTGTTCTGCTTCTGAAACTCTCTGTTAGGGGATGTTTAAAAACCAAGGGGGGGCGGGGAGAAGAGGGGGAAGAAAACCCCCAGGTAGATCAGCAGTGTATTTGGGAATTATGTGGGTACGTGGAAAGAAGACATTATCTGTCATTGTTACAATATGGCCAAAAACAAAGTTTTAGAGAAGTGCCGGAGGTTTAAGGTCAGCAAAAATTATCAATGTGGACTTGAACCTTCATTAATGAGCTGTCTGCGAGAAACCGTTTATGACTACTCGTCCCATAGGCTGAAGACAAAGAAATGACTTTGAGACAGTTGAGTTGTTGGTCAGCCTCCTGGTTTTCACTGCCCTCGGTGACAGTAGGCACTGAAGGAGCCCTGTGGCGTGCTGGTGTGCGAGTGTGCGGCCGCTTGTTACCTGTTGGCGCTTGCCCTGCTAGAAAGTAGGGAAGCGCACAGGTGAGCCCCAGCACAGGCTGGCCACTACACGGACGCAGAGTGAGTTGTGCAAATCGTACCTCACATGGAAGGGTGGATGATGCAGTCCAGGTGAGACGGTACCAAAGAAGAAAATGCCATAGCACCAGGACTGTGGATGCCATAGGGAAGCGGTTATGTCTGATTTGAGGTGAGCTCACAAATGGGAGACCAAATTGTGGCGGTGACATGCCAGGCCAAGGAGTTCCCATTTTCGTAAATTAACCCTGAAGCCCACTTACCTTTTTGTGCTGCAGTGTGCCTGGTTAAGTTGTAGGAAAGGGACTTGAAAAGTGATTTTTCTTCATTTGGATAGCACATTGTTTAGGAAACTGCTGATATAGATTACAGTGTGTCAAGCAACGGCTTTAAAAAAAAATAAGATTTATTTGTTTTTATTTGAAAGGCAGATAAACAGAAGCAGAGACAAAGAGAAAGATCTTCTATCCCCTGGTTCCCTCCCAAGTGCCTGCAATAGTTGGAGCTGAGTCAGATCCAAAACTAGGAGACAGGCGCTTCGTGCAGGTCTCCTGCATGGGTGCAGGGTCCCAAGGCTTTGGACCAGCCTCTACAAGCAGGAGGCTGGGTGGGAAGTGGAGTAAGTAGGAAACAAACTGGTACCCATAAGGGATTCTGGACGTTTAAGGACAGGAACTAGCCAATAGGCAATTGTGCTGGGCCTAGTTTATTATTTTATTAATGCGTATTGGCCTGCAAATTTTTATATGGAACAACAATGATTTTAATAAATATTTGTGTGCAGAACATTTGTGTTAGGGGTGGGTGGTTTTTTTTTAATTAAAAAAAGATTTGCTTACTTATTTGAAAGACTAATAGAAATGTACAGTGGCAGATTTCTGTGCAAGAAGTAACAGAATTTTATCGTGAATAAATAGAACAGGGACAGGTGTTTGGCTTAGAGGTTAGGCCACTGGTTGAGTCACCGGCATACCACATTGGAATGCACTCTCAGCCTTCTGTGAGCTGTGTTTTCCGTGGCCCAAATGCTATAGACTTCAGACTTTGGATCAGTCCAAACAAGTGTCCGAGCCCTGGACTGGCTCAGGCCAGTGAACTCCGGAGAAGAGCTGCACACATGAGGAACAGTTGTCTGCACTTGGAGTGTGTGGAGACCTCCCTTTTACCTGCCGTATCTTTCCCAGGTCGCTGTGCAATTGGCTGTGGTCCCATAGTCCTGTCCTGCAGCTGTCCCCTTGCTATTTACTTCTGCCAACTTTGTGTGACCCTCCAAGTAATGCTGAATCATTCTGGTCACTTCCCTCCTGTTCCCCTTACTGTGTGTCCAGAATGATCACCATTCTTCAACAGACACTGGGATCGCTTTTATTGTAAGAGAACTGTGGTGAAAGAACACCATGAGCAATACTTTTTCCATATGTATCTTCTAACATTCCACCTGTTGTATAATTCTCTGGTGAAAATCACATACCATTTTAGGCAGAGTGGTGGGAGTCAGTCTTCTGACTGCCACCATTTATATAAACTCCCGTAGAGCAACCCCAAGCAAGAACTGTTCTCTCTGTTGGCAAACACTCTCCAGGAGTGATCCATCTGTGCTAGAATTGCACCCCACTCCTTCCCCTGAAGCTCTCTGTAAATGTGTGTTGAAATGAATTGAATGTTCTCTGCACAGCGGAGGATAATGGGAAGCGTTGTCCTGATCTCTGGTCACTACTTTGCAAAGTTCACTTGGGGCAGCATGCTGCGGCATGCGCGGTGGTCTGCAACGCCCTGCAGGGGTCTCTTTGGGTTCGTTCCTACGTGTTAGCCTTGCCCAAGTGGCTTCCGATTGTGCTAGAGCTGTTCTGTGACTGACGCTGCAGGTGAGGCAGTCCCTCCTGGCAACTACGGTTACGCTGGCAGCGGCTACAGCGCCTGTGAGGAGGAGAACGAGAGACTCACCGAAAGTCTGAGGAGCAAAGTCAGTGCTATCAAATCTGTAAGTATGGCCCGGTGGGGTCTGCGCTTCGGCCTCGCTGTAGGTGCATTGCGTTCATAGAAACTGTGCTTTTATTAGCATCGTGCTAAGAAATCCAGTGTCTAAATCCCATAGTTCCATGAGGTCGGTGTGCTCTCACGGTTTATATGAAGCCATGAGGCTGGGGAATATGGCATATGAAAGTACATGGTACATTTACTGTAAACATGTTGATAGCACTCTAAAAAAAAATGTATGCGGTACATGGTAATGTCTCAAATAGAGTTTTCTATCTTCCAGCCCCTCTAACTCTTCTAGCTGCTGCTTTTCTCCTCAAGTATAAATCTTAGGTTTTCTTGTTCCCACATTTGCCTTGTCTGAACCATCCAAGCTTAATGCTTTGCCTCTAATTCCAGTACTACATCCCATTTTCTTGGGTGAGCTAGTGGGATAACATCTTAACCTCTCTGTCCTGGTTTTCTGCGCATCCTGGTCTGAGCCGCACACTGTCACCACAATCGTATTTTTAGTTTTTCTGACATTAACATCCTGTGCTCCCGGAAGTCTTTAATGACTTCCTATGATGTAATTAACCTCTGGCTGGTTTGATTGAATATGCCTTTCAAGGGCCGGCCCCAGTTGTAGGCTCCTCCCTTCCTTCCAGCATGCACGTCTGCTCGCTGCCGGCTCTGTCCTGTTGCTTTCCCGCCCTGTGTCTCGCACCCAGCTCTCTCGTGTCTCTTGGCCTGTCTTGCCGGTCCAGAGGAGCTCAGCATTGCTGCTCCTCCTCTCGCCCACCGCCATCTGTGGACACATCCCAAAGTAACTTTTGTTAGGAACATCTGTCAGCTCCATTATTGTTGCATAGTGATTTGCATTGGGATTATTTGTATGTGAGGTAAATTTACTAGAAAAGAGGGTTTTGAATTGTACTTACTTTTACATTCTATACAACACCTGGCATAATTCCTTGTCAGTTATACTGAGTAAATTTGCATCGAAGAAATGGCTTCCACAAAGATGATGTTTAATTGTGTCTATGGTTCATTCTGCATTATAATAAGCATGCTGCATACTCAGGAAGTATTCCATAGAAGCCTGTATTGCCAAAGACTTAATTGGCATTTCATTATAGTCTTTGGAAAATCAAATTTATTCAGCCTGGAAACCATTGCAGTTTGAAATACTATTGAAATGTTTAAAGCTGTTGCAATAAGTAGTTGTTGATCTATGAAATAAATTACATTATTTACAGAAATGTAGTATTTGAAAGATTTAAGTATTAAATATAGTTTAAAAACTACACTGTTGACAAGTTAGACTCTTAAAAGAAGAAATTTTTACATTCTGGAGATTTTTTTTCTGGTATGACTAAAAATTATAGAAACTAATTAGGTTTTTGGATTATCTGGCTTTATAATTGCTTCAGCTTCTCTGTGTAAAATCTCAACAGAATTCTGGTGTAGTTTTGTGTCACATTACCTAACGTGTTGCCCACATCAGTTGAGACCAGTACTGGCACTGGTGTCCCACACTGTTCAGTAGTTGTTTGTTTAAGCTTCTTAGAAGTAACAGCCTTGATGAATTTGTCACAGGAAGCGTTAAGCAGGTTTTGGCTGAAGTGCAGCTATCGTTCCCCATGGTATTGCTTCTTGTTGGCTCAGATCCTTGTTTGCCTAACTCAAGATATAGGTAACATTAGCTTGCAAATATTTCTCATGTATTTTAAAATCTTAAGAAATACTCAATTTAGACAATTTGAAATTAATGTCTCATTTATTAGGAAAGATTAAGTGTTTATGTATCCCTTTGTATTGACCTTACAGGTACTTGTGATAAGAAGGAAAAATACAAATAAATGAATTCTATGAGTAGCATTAATAAATTAAAAAAAAAAGCACGCAAGGATGTGAGAGCCAGAAAGAATGCTCTGTGTATACCAAGATTAAGCGACAGAATTGAGTATGAATATAGGGAGGAACGGAAGTTCCAAGTTTATTTTCTGTTAATTGCAGTGAAAAAAGTGCCACAAGGAGAGTATTACTTTATAAACTGAAGTTTCATTTGAGAAAATTCAAATGCTTAAAATGGTATTTTTCTTTATAACACTTGAGTGTGTGTTTTTAAATAATAGTGTTTGTGCTTTCTTTTTTACAGCTGTCCATTGAAATAGGCCATGAAGTTAAACATCAAAATAAATTGCTAGCTGAAATGGTAAGTGGCTATGATTTTAACTAACAAACCTCATCTAATAGTCTCAAATTTGTTCTGTTAATCAAGAATAATGTTTTGTACATTTTGAAATGGTAGATCTAGAAATAAGAAATTCAGGATTCTGGTCCATTTTTATTTAGTTGATTTGAAATAAGCTTAAGGATTATTTTTGCCATAATTCCTCCTTTTTAAATTTTTGGCTGACAGTGGGAGGATGAGGTGGAAACCAGTTTATCTTTAATTCTTCTTTAGAAACATTAAGGACTCAGATGAATGTGGCATTGAAAGTATCATTCTCACAAACCCGTACAGTCACCTAGGGAACCTTTGCAAATTCGTGTGCCCAGTTGTAGATCCGGATTTCAGGTTTCATGCAGATGGAGCTAGGCATATATTTTAGAAGAAAAAGTAACCCAAATGATTGTGATTCAGTATCCTGGAAAAGAACTACAGAGGTAGACACTGAACTAGGCAAAGTCTGTTGTTATGCTCCATCTTTATATTTTAGGATATTGAAATTTCTAAGAAAGTGTGATATTTCTAATCTGTATCTAGACCTCTCTCTCTCTCCTTTCTTTTTTTCCATTGTTTTGATAGGAAGAATTAAAGTGAGATAGGGAGAGACAGAGATTTTCCATTTATTTCTTCATTCCCCAAATACCTGCAATGACTAGACTGCGCCAGATCCAAGCCAGGAGCCTAAAACCCCATCAGTATCTCCTCGATGGATGGCAGGGGCCTAGATACTTGGGCCATCTTCCACTGCTTTCTCAGCTGCACAGCAGGGACTGGTGCCCATATAGGATGCTGTATCACAGATAGTGAGTTAATCCATTGGCACCACAACTCTAGTCCCGATCTCATATCTTTAGGACGTTTCTGTCTGTGTTCTAACAAGATAGTTTCTTTGCCAATGTTTATGCTTCCTCCGGTATTTTGCCATCTCTCACATGATTTTCTCTTAACTTTCAGTGGATTCTGTTGTACTTCAGAGACAGCTAGCTGAGCAATATGATTTTAAAAGTAAAACAGACTAAAAAGCATATTAAGTTTTAAATGAATCTCCATAACTTTATAGTAGTCAGTCATTTGACCTTGGGGAGCAAATGTCAAAGGAAAAAGTGAGCAAAAGTCTATATGATATTGTGTATATTGTTTACCTTCATTTTTGGTTTGTTTTTCAATTAAATAGTGGAATGCATTCATTGAGAGAATTGTTTTGTCTTACATGGAGTAATCATGCCGTTTACCAAACTTTAGAAATAGGCTCCTAGAATTGATTAAACACAAAAATTATTAAAAATGCAATCTTTATAGCAATAAAATGAATTACTTGAATGTTGAATACTGAATCTAACAGTCCTATTTTCTTTTTCTTCTCCTCTTGTAGGATTCACAGTTTGATTCTACAACAGGGTTTCTAGGGAAAACTATGGGAAAACTAAAAATTTTATCCAGAGGAAGCCAAACAAAGCTTTTGTGCTATATGATGCTGTTTTCATTGTTCGTGTTTTTTGTCATTTATTGGATTATGAAACTGAGGTGATGCAAGTAAGTGTGAGTTTAGAATTTATTCCCACCTGATGGCTTGGATTACCACTTTGATAAAAATCAGCATCCAGACATTCCTAATTTTCAAATACTGTGACCTTTCCCATGGAAGATGATTGGATTTTGCTTATTTTGTAAATCACACGAGATAATACATTGCTCTTTAAATACTGTTCATCAGTGGTTCATTTTAGCCCCGATTTTCAGGGGAATTGAGATGGCTGAATGATATAGATGGTCAGTATGCTTTACCGATTTTTTGTTCTAACGTTTGCTCCTTGTAAAATTAAATAGCAATATAAAATTCTGTTGTTACTATAAATGTAAGTATATGTTTTATGTAAGGAAACTTAATGGGTGAGTAACAGAATGGCTGGCAAGCCTGCAAATGATCTCTTGAGGTAGGAAACCAGTTTGTTATGGAATAGCAAATGTGTTTGTATCAAGTGTCATCAACCATATAACCCATATACTCCCCTTTCCTCCTCTATTTGTTAAAACTATAGGCAAGCTTCTTTTATCAACAATTTTCTTTGTACCTAAGGATCTTGGTTTTAAAAAACCTTATTTCTGGGTTGTTTCTAGAAGGGCCTAATGTACAAGTGTACCAGTGTAGTTGCTGTGTTATATTAACCTTTTAAGTACTATTGACTTGGCTTACCTATAGTTTTATGATTTTCATTACGTAGGTGGGCCATGTGTGTGACAGAACATTGTGAAGTTAAGTAATTACTAAACACTGAGTGGCATAAAGTGTTGAAGAAAGTGAATTGCTTCTGCTGTATGATGTGCTCAAAATAGCAAAAATATTCAAACATTGAATTTGGAGTTAGAAGGAGTTTTGCTTTCATCCATGTATTTGTTTAAAGAAAGCAAAACAAAGTAGACTTGAGAAAAAAAATTGAAATATTGTTTAATACTTCATATTGTCACTATTTTACAATTTACCCATTTATAGGCTTCAAAACTAAATGTTTTATTAAATCATATTAATTGACTTTAATGCTTCTCTGCTTAAGTCTTATTTCTTGATAAAGAATTTGAGAAATCATTCTGATAACTCAGATTCTGAATGGAACCAAGCATGTTTAACATTCCTGCTGTGTAAGAACTTGCTTCAAATAAGGCCAGTGTTGAGTACAGTTTTAAAACCTCTTCATTTGTATTTTTAGTATTTTTAGTCTGTCCTCTTTGGTTTTACTTGAGTTTTCAGTGGTTTTTGTCTTATTCCCAATTAACTGTTAGTTCAGCTCTTCTTTTCCTGGCTGCAGTGGTTCCTGTCGTCCCTCTGTGTGCCAGATAAGCCTGCCAGGTCTCTGTGTCCATGGGAGAGATACAGGGTTGAGTTAGAGGAACTGAGTTCAGATCTCTTACTTGCTTTAGGGACTCTGTTTCTTCATTATATCACCTGTTCCATGGAATTGCTGTGAGAAGTAGATAGGCTAATATATTGGAAAGTGCCTGACATATGATAATGTTAATTCTGTGAACAGTTACTCACTACTATTAACAGAAATTTTAAGTCAGAAAAAGGAGTTTTGGTAAGGGGAAGACAGTAGATCGGTCAGACTTTGAGGTAATGATGCGACCTCCAAGTAAATATTTCTGTCAGGCAGATGAAAAGTGACCCATTAAAAACTTATTTTTTTTCCTATATGTGTGCCAATTATGTGGTACCAGAACTAGACTCTGAAATAATTGCCAGGAATTAAATTAGTTGCAAAAGGCCAAAGAGAAAACCTAAATTGCTTTAAGATAAAAATAGAAAAGAGCAAGCAATAGAAATAGAAAAGATAGCAGGATCTATGAAAACTGGTGATGGCAAGAGAAGGATGGGTTTTAGGATTAAGCTGTGGCTAATGTTTGAAAGGCCTTTGTGAAGTATTAGAACACTGGATAAAGTTGACTGTTACCAGGAGGCTGAGGCTCCAGGAGATGTTTGGGTGATGGCTCAGTGTTTCTTATGAATTTCGTTTTAAGAACTGGCTAAAATGTGTCTTTTCCTGGTATTTCCTGCCACTTGTCATCTCACTGTACTTGCTGAAGTTCCTGGAAGTTGGGGAAGCCCCAGGCAGCACATCCTGCCTTCTCCATGGGGACCCCTAGAAAACAACACTCCCAGAAATTAAACTTGTGAAAAATATCTGATGTGGAAAGTTGGACACTAGGCATTTGCAAGCTCATTGCTAATTCTGTGAAAGACTCACTTGGTACAGGTTTCTGGGATGTTGATTATAAAGATGGAATATAAAATGTTCACATTATAATCTTTATTCAAACAACATAATGCCTACAGGTGTTTGGGTTGTAGAAGGAACATTTTAAATGGTAAAGGAAATTCTGTAAATGCTTTGTAAAAATCCCAGATGTTCACAATTTCTCTGAAGCTCTAGTGATTTTATTTCTCTAGGAGTTCGTTCTTGGAAATGTACCAAACCCATTTGCGGAAAATACATTATAATGGATATCAGACATGGATGTCCACATTCACAAATGAGGGAAAGCATATCTGAAGTACCACATCTCAGCAGTGAGGAAAGGGAGAACTATTCTTGATAGAATCTAAGCTAGCATGCTAATATTGCTTGAGCAGAGAGTAGATGTCAGGTCTAAAACAAATATTTGGCATTTGAAGCATCAGAACTATGGGGGAAGAACACCAGCACCCCCTCCCATCAAAAGCATCTGATTCTACAAAATTAACTAGTTCACCAAATTTTTCAGTGCTTTGATATTCTAGAATATCTATATTGAGTTTGCTGTGACAAATTTTAAAAGGTGCTTCATAATTTGTATTCATTTGGTTAGTAAATCAGATCATACCATACTGGTGTGCAAACATTGATTTAATGTTTACTGGGAAACAGAGAGCTGGGAAGTGCCACTCCTTGAGCCTAAGCTCTGGGCCTACCACTCACTCACGTTACGATTTTGAGCTATGACCTTTCTGTCTCAGTTACGCTGTTCATAAAGGCCAACATCTCACATAGAATGGCCAGATTGAGCTCTGGATCCAGCTCTGGATCCCAGCTTCCTGCTAATGAGGATCCCAAGAGGTGGAGAGATGGCTCTCATGTCACTGGGCTCCTAGCACCCCTGTGGCAGGCTTGTATTCTTTCCCTCACTGTTGGCTGTGGCCCTGTTCTGGCTATAGTCCAGTCCCAGACTTAAAATTTTGGGAATGAAACTGCAGATGGAATCAATCTCTCCCTCTCTCTCTGTCTTTCCTCTCTGTCATGTCAAAATTTTAAAATACTGTATAAAGAGAGTGGTTATACATTCATGAACTTATTGTAATAATTACATGAAGTATTACTTTAAGGAAGTTTGAGTATAGTTGAACCCTTCGTCATGCTGGCTTGGGGTACTTGGGAATTCTAATCTGTTACATCAAGACATGCAGCTGCTAGAACTTTGGCTACTCGCTCTTCCCTCCATTCGACCAGGAATGAAAGCAGCTGTTCTCTGTTCTGGGGAGAGTTCATCATTTTCTGGAATTTAGTTCACTTAGGTTTCTTTGCATTCTCAGTACCCTGATGACTTTTATTTATTTATTGGTTTTGCTTTGTTTTTAGCTCGTACGGCTTGTTTTAGGTTATTAAAATGAGAGCAGTATAGCTTTCAACTTTATGGAAGCATAAACTTGAAAGAAGCTCAGAGAATTGCTATAGAGGTGTGATAAGCAGCTAATAAACATTCAATTCCCTTTTACTTCTTTAGTTTTTTTTTTCCCCATTTTTGGAATTCATTGACTTATAGTGTCAGATAAAGTATTCAGGTTATTTTCTTTTTCATTTACAAAATATCAGCAGTTATTCTTAACAATACAAAATCAAATGACACTGTATTTGATGCACATTATGTATTGTTAGAGATCGCAGTGGATTTTGATAAGAATCACGGAAATCATGTATAACCTGTTCTGGAAAAAATTGCCACACTTGAGATGTTAGCTCTTATGCCAAGCGAATTTCTGAATTTTAATCTTGTTTCCAGTGATATTTTTGGTAAGGGGAAGGTGTGGAGGCATCCCTGATTTGCAGTAAGTGTTTTGTGCTATAAATAGTCTTACTGATTTCGAGTCACTGAAACATAGTTGTGGAACATACAGTAAGTCCTCATAAGGTAGTACTAAACAGTGCCACCAAATCCTGGTTATGCTGATGATAAATGTTCTTTCAAAGGGTATAGTAGTTGCTGTTTTCCAAATGAGATTCTTTCCTTTAAACCTTAATAGAAAAAAAAAGTCTGGTAGAATGCAGTTAAATTGGTAAAGTAACTTTCCAGTAATTTTTCCCTAAGGCAGTGGACATTTAGCTGGTTGTTTGCCCCTGTTCTCAGTTTGTGTGGGCTGGTTCTTGCTACATTTACTGTCCTCGTATTTTCTGATCGTCCAAATACTGTGTAAGAGTCGGACACAAAGGCAGCTGGTTGTTATCTTGGTCTTCTCTCCAGTTTGAGTACAGGGATCATTTGGTACATCTCTTGTCCACTTGTTAGTTGTTTGAAATTTAGCACAGGGGAAGAGAGAAATGCTTCCATCTGTGGGTTTACTTCCCCGTTGCCCACAACAGCTGGTTCTTGACTAGACTGTAACCAGGAGTCTGGCACTCAGTCAAGGTCTTCCATGTGGGTGGCAAGGGCCCAAGCACTGGCACCATCATCCGCTGCCTTCTAGAGTGCGTTAGCAGGAAGATGGCATCAGAGGCAGAGCTGGAACTCGGGCCAAGCCACTCTCAGCCACAGTCGGGACTCGCTGTGTGATTGATCACAGAGCTTTGCTCTCTGTGTACATCCACGGTTTATCTTTCTGAGGAGTTCGGTCTGCAGAAAACCCGTTGGCTCTTTTAGGGCATTTTACACAAGCCTTTGAAGAACGGCCATAGAGACCAGAGAGGGCTAAGTGCCACATCCTAGCCATGGTCTTTCCTTAAAGTCAGCAGAAATATGCATAAAATATTTTTGATAAAAAAAATCAAACATTGACTAGGTCTGAAACTAAAACTTCTGTAAATTTAGTCCTTTATACTTTTATTATCTAAAACATAATGCAAAATCTGACTGCTTCCCCTATTGCATTCCACACAGTCTTCGTGACCCTTAGAAAATAACTTCAACAAGGGTCAGTATAAAAGATTGTGTGAGAAAGCCGTTCATGCTGTGCTGCGTTCATGGAAGTGCAGATGGCCAGGTCCTGCATGTTTGTGGCTTCTCAGATGCCTGTGCAGAGTCTGGAAATAAACAGAAAATAACAACACACTTGAGCATTTTACAATTCTGTGTAAAACAAATATTAATATATGGAAAAACTGAAGTCATGAATTTACATTTTAAAAGTGGATACATTTCCCCTCAACCTTATCTCATTAATGAATAAATAGTCCTACAAGCTAGTCATTTGTGAGACTTCTACATTACTTAATAATTCATCTGCTTCAAAACTCTTGAGACAAATACTTTGACTTTCAAGCTGAATGGAGCAGGAGTGTAACTTGTGGTAACCTGGATTCCAGAAACTGAAACATTTGAGTCTGCTTGTGGAGAGATTGAACATTGGGTCTGTGTGAGGGATCTTTTGGGGCAGGTCTTCAGCCCACAGCTCCACGGCTCCACGGTGGGGGTTGGCTCTGCCCCTGACGTTAGCTGCCTGCTGACATGTGTCCTACGGGACAGTGGTGGTGGTTCCATGTGGCATCTGGGCCACTTGGGTTGGAGAGCTGGGTTGGGTTTCTGGCTCCTGGCTTCAGCCAGCTTGCAGGCATTTTATGACCAGCAGATAGGCACTCGTTCACTCTGTCTCTCTCTCCTCTCTCTGGCGCTCAGATAAGTAAGAATTTTGCTCAAGGTCTCATTTTAATATATTTGAAATTTGGATTGATTTACATTTAAATATTTAAAAATTTTAAAAGGCAAGTTGTTGGTTTTGTTTATGCATACAATTCTGAGGAGTAAAATATGTTAGAGTGGTGCCTATTAAAGTCTTCCATAACTTTAGATTACAATTCCTTCAATAATTAATAGATTCTCTTCTAGATTGTTGTTTGAAAGGCAACCTTCTGAATAGGGCAGTCAGTTCCCCTGAGCCCCTTTCCTTTCTCTGTGATTACTTCTTGTAACTCAATTCAACTTCAGTCTAATTGTGAAATGTTTTCTAGAACTCAGAGAGCTTTTTAGTTGAGTACCATGAAGACAGAACAGTGATTGCACCCTGAGTATCCTCAGAAGTGCTACAGCGTGACCTCTGTTCCCACAGACTCGGCCGGAGCTCAGCCCCAGCACGGGGACCATTTATGCCCGTAGCAGGAAAATACAAAAATCTAACTGTCCTCACCAGCCAGTCACCAAGGTGCCCAGAGATGCCAGGCTCCCTCCTGGGAAGTTTGCCCCAGATGAGAGCTAGCCGTTTGCAAGGTTGAGTTCCTCAGCTCTTTTCACACGTGGCGTCTCCAGACTTACCTTTTGGGCATTGCTGACAAATCGGCCTTAAGGGGCTTTCTCAGAGTTCTCTTTCTAAACTTTAAAATTTGTATTAAGAAATATAAACTACAAGCCTATTCCATAAAATAACAGCATTATTTTAAAAGGTGCTTATAATTTTAATCTACTTTTTTTTTAAATTCTGGACCTCACCTATCCTAGAGGAAGCTGTCAAGATGTCCCTATGCAGTCAGGGTTAGTGTAAGTGAGATATGTGTGTGGGAAAGTGAAAGGAAGAGAGGCAGCCAGAGAGAGGGCCCAGCACTGCTGTGAGTGAGAGTGCTGGCACTTGGAAGGCAGCCCCGTCCTGAGGCCTGTAGGCGTTGGGGACTGTGACGTGCTGTTGGCTTTTTTATGTAAGTGTATTTGTGTTACTTTACATACAGGTTTGCTTTCGTTCCCAGTCATGAACTGCAGTATTTTTCAGAACTTTAGTTGTTCAGAAAATAGTTCCTCAGTGTTATCTTCTGTCCTGAGGTAACAAAAGCGAGCTATTTTTTGCAGCAGTGTGAATATTTACTCCTCATGGGTAAATTTCAAGCACTTTCCATAGAGCTGTTACAAACTCATATTCCTCTTTGAACTATTTATTTAAAACCCACTTCTTCCTTACCAAAGAGGCACATTCTGGAAATTTACATCTCAAAAAAAAAAAAAACCTCTGTGGTGTCTGATGATCGCTTATCTGTCTTACAGTTTCTCTGTATTTTGGAGCTGTGAATTCATAAAAGACCATGAAAATTATTTATGCAAAATGTAACGATCAAATGAAATCCTTTTGTTAATTTGTTCAGGATTGATCTTCAGTGTGTTCCTCTAGAAATTCTAGGCCTTCAGTTCAACCCCTGTTAGTTTCTGTCACGCATTTGACATGGTAGATCTCAACTGTGGCTCCCAACAGTGTCTTGGGAATGAATCAGTGTTGGCTTTACTGTCCCATTTGTAGAGCTCTTTTAAGTCACAGCACACTACAATCCTAGTACTCACGCAGTAAGAGACCTTGATAAAAATGTGCTGCTGGGTTAGCAAGTTCACTCACTAGCTCAGTGTTGTGCGTTTGCAGTGATATCATATCCGGTAGGTTCATCGAGGACTGAAAATTGTTGATAATTTAAAAGTTTTAATGGCTTTCCCATCATAAACGTGAGAGAAGAGGTAAAATAAAAATGCCCTTCCCCAGGTGCTGCTGTAGTTTGATATTCTCTGAGGACACAGGAGAAGATAAAAATTGTCCCACCCACCTTCCTCCAAATCTGACCCTGCCCACCCTATTCAAAGGGCCTCGTGGGTGTGCGTCCCTCTCAACTATGTAAATAATATTTTATATATTTTTTGTAAAGTTTTATTTATTTTTATCGGAAAGGCAGATATACAGAGAGGATGAGAGACAGAAAGGAAGATCTTCTGTCTGATGGTTCACTCCCCAAGTGGCCGCAACATCTGGAGCTGAGCCAATCTGAGGCCAGGAGCCTGGAGCATCTTCCGGGTCTCCTATGTGGGTGAAGGGTCCCAAGGCTTTGGGCCGTCCTCCACTGCTTTCCCAGGCCATAAGCAGAGAGCTGAATGGGAAGCAGGGCCGCCAGGATTAGAACCAGTGCCCATATGGGATGCTGAGCATTTAAGGCAAGGACTTTAACCACTACACTATTGCATCAGACCCGTAAACAATATTTTAAAAAGTGATGAAATCAGATGCCCTGTAACGGTCAGATTGGTTTATGTACATGGGTATGTATGCAGTATGGCTCATAAAAAAAACTGCTATAAATACTGCATTTTAACAACAAAAAAAAAAACTTTATGTAATAAAATGGTGTTCTATTTTCTCTGGCAGTGTCCGTGGCAGCCTCTCATTTACTGGGACATTTCACTGACACACAAAGGATTCCTCCGGGGAGTGGGCAGGACACATCCCTGGGATTCGCACCCAGGCACACGCATGCAGCCTAGCAAACCCGAGGGCCCTGATTGGCTGCCGTTGATGTCATAATCATCTTAGATGCAACATGAAAAGTTAGCATGTAAGCAGAGTCATTATAATGTACAGAAAGACATACTATATATGATATCTCAGTAAATTTAGCAAACTGAAGAAAATAAGAAAAAGCCTGCAAGTATTAGCCTATTTTCTGTTAGTGTAACTAAATTCGCAAGGCTTAGTACCTCATGAAGAAAATAGGTTTATTTAGCTCACACACAAAGGCGTGTGCTCAATTCTAGGCGAGCGGAGCATTTTTAATCTGTAACACCACATGAGTCCGGCATGGCCTCGGGTTGCCATCTGTCAGGCTGTGACTTGATTTTCTCTGCTTCCCAGAAAACAGCAAGTCGTAAATGAAGCTTCCCACCTAAGAAGGAAAGGCCAGAGCCGGTGCCATTTCCTGGTCAGCTCCCACACACTTAGGAGCTTACTTCTTACAGCCGTAGTTTGAAAGCAGCTATGAAGTTAAATTGTTTACAAAGCAGGGGGCATTCTTGTTGGGAGACAGACTGTCTGTTGAGAAGTTTGATCCTTCCCAAAGTAACTCAGTAACTCACAAACACTCCCAGATATCCTCTGAGTTCTGAACAAATTCAAAGGAGGCTGAAAAATCAGGCAGTGACCAACCTGCCCTAAAATTCATGAAAATGGGATCTGAGCATTCCCCTGGACCCAGCAACAAGCTGTGCCTCCATTTCTTCCTCCTGTCCAGTCCCCCATCTGGCTGAGGACAGTGGCGTTGGACAGCTAGGGGGTCTGAGGCGGCACTGAGCACTTCCGCCTCGTGCTGCTGAGTGTGCACCCAGAGTTCTCAGTGTTTTGCACTGTCAGCAAATATGAAAAAGGAAAGCATCTTTAACCATATTTTTAACTTTTAGCTGTGTTTTTTGTCTATGTTATTTCCACTGTCTTAGAATGCACAGGTGTACGCACACGCATACGTGCACACTCACTTTCCAAATGCCTTGTCCAGAAACAGTATTTTATTTTAATTGTTATTTAAACATTTTATATGTATGTCCTCCTCCCCAATTATAATTATAGATACTGAAAGGAACACAGGATAGGATGGCGATAGCACATGATGGGCTATTAGATTCCCAAAGAAATGGATGTAAACTCTTTTCTTCAAAATGTGCAAGTTTGAGTTTCTCAGTCCTTCGAGGCTTGGTCACAAATGGACCTGACTAGGGAAGAGTGGCAGGTACACGTGGTGATGTATAGAGAACGCCCACCGGGGCCGTGTGGTGAGGATGTTGGCACTCACTGTTGGAACACTAGGAGGCATTTGTTATCTTTTCTGACTTCACACACCGTGGTTTCCTGTCCACTGTCACGCTACAGATGACTTAGTGACTACCAGGCTCCCCTGCCATGTCTTGCTAAACTGCTGCCACTTTTGTACATCTGTCTTTTTGGAATATTTTTAATGCTTAGATATTCTTTCTTGGTGAGTCAATTGCAATTTGCTTTTAAAATTGGATGTATTTTTCTGAAACTATGCCAACACATTTGTAGCTCTTTTTAAGACTAATGGAAGGCTTATTAAGGAGTTATATTTGTTTGGTTAGCTTTACCAATATTTATGGATTTCATGAATCACTGAGAGTGATTATGCTGTTTTTGAATTGGAGGTAGTGGGAATAGTGTGGAGGAAGTAAGCTCCTAACTAAACTGAAAT